TGGTTGTATTCTTGTGCATGCACGCTGCTGAGCTTGAGAATATGTGTGAGACATTTTGGCCCACCTGAAAGGAGGATACCTGGCAATAACTATAAATTAAGAATTGTACAAAATATTATATTTTTATTATGTCCAACCTCGGAATTGTTGCCTACTTTACCTAATTTTTTCTAAACGTCTGCAGACAATAAGCGGTAGATAATCTTATGTATCTGCCAGACAAGTTCTAATGAAATGAGCTTAATGTAGTTAAATGGTACAATAAAACCATCTTCAAGCTTGATCCATTGTCTCACAACTATCATGTTTACCATACGTTCATTATAATTCCCACGTTGATCGACTAAAGAATAAAATCTTTACAGGCAAGTGTCAGTTTACTTCATTTGTGACTTAAGGTAATATCAAGGCAATCCACACAGGATGCACATATGCCATTTAGAGACTGATCAATCGCAGTCCTAAGCATCAGTGGAAAGGTTCAAACAACCAATACAAAAATGAACTGAACGCAATAACATTTGGCAGTGAGATTAGACAAAATTATTCTAAATGATAAGGGATAACAATCCATTTTCTAGTTATGTTTTTTAGATATATTAGTTTAAATTTATAAATTAAAAGCTTTCTAAAATATTTTGACCCATATTTACAAGTGACTTGTCCACGTAAAATCGTTATTTTTCAAAGAAGCTTTATAAATTTTGTAATGAAATACGATAATAACGATAATTAATTTTCTTCTTATCAAAATCAAGACACAACTAGTTATGTGATGATATTTATGCTATAATGAATATATCCTGGTGGCCTTATGTAACCCTAATACTTATAGGCGCATAGAAGTGAATGGATTAGGAAATAAGATAAGATAATCTGAATGTGAATATAAAGCCAATCACATCAAAGTTATCAAAAGTTGTGAATTGTTTTTTGAATATATAGTGCTTTTAAAAACTGTTCTGATATACCAACCAACTCTTAGTTTTCTTTTAGAAGCGTTTAATTAAACAATAAACTTTACCTATATGTATCATATTTTCCATCCTGGGCAGAAAAAGTGAATGAACTGAGTTTCACTACACCAGTAAGAAATTCGACTAGAATAAGCGATGCATTATTGAAAGAAAGTAGACCAAAACTCAATATTTAGGAAAATGAGTTCGTGTTTTATAAGAAACTCATTTCATAGATAATCATACACACAATGAACATAAACCTAAAGGATCACAATTACCATACTTATATGGCCTACCCAAAACTCATAAGCCCGAAATCCCGATAAGACCAATATTATGCATGACCAACTCACCCTTCCACAAACTCGCTTGCTGGCTGACAAAATGCCTAGAACCAATCCGAAAGAAAGTAGCACCCTACAGTCTAAAAGACAGCTTTGAATTCGCACAAAAACTCGACAACCTAAATGTTTCTGATAAATTTATGGTTTCATTTGACGTCTCATCACTCTTCACAAACATCCCCTTGGAAGAAACGGTTGAAATCATATGTAAATATCCTGAACTTTTACCTCTACCAGCCCAGGATTATAAACAGCTCCTTTTTTATGTACCAAAAACATACAATTTCAATTTAATAATGTCTTTTACCGCCAAATTGATGGAGTTGCTATGGGTAGCCCTTTGGGCCCAATTCTTGCTGATATATTTATGGGATACCTGGAACTAAATAAGCTTAAGCACGCAATTGACGATACTACATTCTACTGTAGATACATCGATGACACATTTCTCGTCTGTAACAATCACAAGCACGCCATTAGACTACTTGATCTGTTCAATAAAGCACATAACAATATAGAATTTACTATGGAAAAGGAAGTTGAAGGTAAATTCCATTTTCTTGATATTGGGATCAGACGAACATCTGATGGCACATTAAACAGACACATTCATCATAAAAATACTTCGAGTGGACTATATCTCAGTTACTACAGTTTTTGTCCAATGAGTTACAAAAAGGGTTTGATACGAACCCTTTTTGACCGCGCTCGCAAAATTTGTTCAAAGGAATCCCTGGATGATGAAATTACTCTCATCACTAATGTTCTACAAGAAAATGCATACCCGTTGAAATTTATTCACAAACATGCAAAAACCAACCCTCAAACAAAGTAAGATAGAATTGAAAAGAAACCTTGCTTCTTATATCTACGTTTCAAAGGAGATGAAATTGCTGGCTTAATTAATCACAGACTAAATTCAGCGTTGATAGTTGCCTACCCAGCAGCAAAACTAACAACAGTATGGAAAACGAATTGCTCACTTAAACAAACTATAATCAACAAGTCCTCATTTTTGGTAGCTCCAACTGCATTTACCAATTCACATGTACGTGCCAAAGCACATACATTGGAAGAACTGAGAGAAGAGTTCATGTTCGCATTTCGGAGCATATTCCAAAGAACTTGAGGCTGCGAGGGACTAAGGCTCTTAACAGTGCAATAGCTCGGCATTTACTTGACACCGGGCATGCCATCGATATTTCGCACGCTTTTAAAATTATCAACAGACAAAGAAGTACTACTACTCTCCGCTTTGCGGAAGCGATTGCAATAAAAAAACTTTAACCGGATTTATGCATTCAAAAAGAGACACTAATTAACTTATTATTACCCTGGTAATCCATTTTTGTGTGTGTGTTATTTGACTCACTTATTTATTTTAAAAAATTTATTTTGTGTTATCCTTCACCCCCCCCCTCATAACTTAATTCTTAAACCAATTTTCATCCACATATTTCCGCCTCACTGATACTGTTAGATTATCTTAACTGTTCAAATTTTATTCAATCATTACGTAACCTATCTTATCACTGTTCTAATACCTCTAAAATAATTATCACACAATTTATAAACTCCATTCAACTATTACATCTCCCATCTTTAATTGTCTCCTTAATTCTAACACCAATTAACCTCTGACCTGTTCTAGCATATATATATAGTTATTATTGTAAATCTTTGTCATTCTAATCATGTACATTCATTTATGCCAATTGTTTTACACTATCTCAATGTAAAAAGCTTATCACATATTTGGTTGTAAGCAACTGACGAGGAACCTCGAAATATTATGAATTCATACTATTCTGCATCAATATTTGTTCTTGCTTTATTTAAATTCATAGATTTCATCCGGAAATGTACAAAACTTCATCAAAATTTTAGAGGTTATTGCTTCATATTTATGCTGTAATGCTCAGAAAAGGCAACATAGTCATATGTTTAAGCAATAAGGGATGTGAGATAGTGTAAATTTGTAGATAAAATAAAATGATCGACATTGTTTCTTAAAATCTGTGGTAGAGATTGAAATAATAAATATTGTTTTCAATTACTTGGTTGCTAGTGATTTGACTAAACGTAGATTTTATATTCTTTTTTTGTTCAGGATCTCTCAAGTCGAAATACCGGAGTGATGAGTTGATATTTAATAAGGCTGAATATGTTTTCTCCGTTCACTTTAAATTACATGAGTATAACAGCATTCACCTGCTAGTTATGAAAGAGTAAAAACTTAATCTATTCTCCAGAAGGAAGTGAACTGATAAGAGGTTAGTTATAAGACAGTACGCTAGCTTGTCATCAGTACATATGTAAGTTTTTCTTTATTCATCACATTCAAAGAGAAAAGAAAGTTTACTCACTGATCTCGGAGATTTTCATTGTGGAATAACAGCTACAGAGGCCAATTTAATTTCTTGATTCTATGACAGAACAGAATGGATACCTTTCTCAATCGTTTAAGTTTTTACATTTAGATCTATCAGTCTTGATATTGTCCTTAGCGCATATTTTTCTGATCTTGTGGAAAAAGGAACAAATGATGACAGTTTTCTGTCTTAGAATGTTAACAAGTTAACAGTTCGTAAAAAATAAAATCTTTACCAAAACGGATCCGGCTATTCTTATTACAAGCAATCAACCATACATTGCTATCGAAAAAGCCCTACTCATGACAAGTGTTAAAAATGTTTAATGTGGGTGATATGTATTTTTAGAATTTAAAGATATTCTTATAATATCTTTGATCATAGACAACTAAGATCAGAACTAAAAAGCACCATTTGATAACTTGATTATTTCCCTGAAGAAGTTCAAGTCAGTTAGTTTGACCAAACGTTGGAACTTGTGAAATTCTATTAACTGAGGATTTCACAAATATCTTTTACTGTATAACTTCTTTTATATACATGGGGCTAAATTTCTATAAAACACTTTTTTTAAAGTCTTGAAAGATATTCACTAAGATTGATGAATCAAAGAGTCGTTTTGTAATGTCAAAAATAATTCCTTCATTAAATTGCTATATCTGGATTGGTTTGTTCTTCATTCAATTTTGCTTTAGCTATATGACGAGACAAGTTTCTGTTATATCCAGACAAAAAATTGACTCCTTAAACCACATCTTTAAGTAACGCTTTACTTCAACAGCCTTATCTATTCAACGAATAAAAAAATTCATGAGTTTTAATAGATATTTCTCAAAGCAAATCAAGGAATGTGGTATGAATGATTAGAAATCTCTCTTGAGTTATGACTGTTATATATGAAACAGTTAAAACACGTCAAATTTGTGAGTGGCTAACATTTAGAATATTTAAAACCAACTGATAACCTGTAAGGTAATAGTATTTGGGATTTTTCGAAATGTAACCTTGTCAACAAATAAGGTCTATTTTCTGTTCAATCTTAATAAATTCACAAACCTAAAAAAGTTTTTCGCTTTCACAACACTTCTGACACATTTCTTATCATTTTATAACTTTACAGTAATTGGTTCTATTTTATTAACGAATAGTTTTAAAGGATTAAATGCATAGGGCAGAAATTTTTCAGATCTAATTTGTTTCGGACGATAGTCTTTATTCAGATTGAAATGAGTTTATTTGTAGAAATCTTCTTTTCAGTAAAGTCACTATTTTATTTACATATTTTTCAAAAGAAATTCCATTATTGTGAAATCATTCACTGAATAATGAGTGTCAATACTACAAACTGTAATGAACTAATAGATGAATTGAAATTTATGTGGATAGAACATGAATTAGGACCACAACGAATGTCGTTAACACGTCAAATTTTAATTGGAATTGTATATACTTCCATTTTTTGTACTGGCCTACTTGGTAATTTAGCTACATGTATTGTAATTGCTCGTAATTCGTTTATGCATACCAGGACAAATTGTTATTTATTTACATTATCTGTTAGTGATTTATTATTACTAATTTTTGGTAAGTTATTATTGACTATTTCTAATTTGTGTTAAAACTACTTCTTACATCGCTGAAATTTAGGTATATGATCTATAAATATATTTTATATATTTTGAAGGTGCTATTCATCAAAAATAACTGTTCAGAGGATAACTATCGAATGCCATTCGATATTAAGTATTTTTGTTGCCTCACCATAGATCTACTTATCAATAGACTGTTATGGTATTATATGTTCTATAACCCTGTACCACTCCACCATCAAACTATCATAGCCCTCATCATAATTATTTTCACATCCAAAATAATTGGTTTTATAATGTCATAGTTTCAGGAAATCCATCTATAGACTAATCACTTATAAGCCAATAATCGTAAGAAAGATGGATTGATAAGTTGAGTTGTGGAATTTTCGAAAAGATAGCAATGTGCAGAGAGCTGAATATTGTTTGAGTATTTTTAAACTGTAAAAATAGTATCTTGGTTTAGGTGTGTGAGTAAAAATCTGTAAACGAAATTATGACGTAACCATTAGAAGGATGAAGCTTTTTGTTTTAAATCAGAATAACTGTCGGACATCTGTATGTTCACTTTACAGGTTTTTGAGCTGTAGAGGAGAAAAATGTTGAAACATAAGATTAAATAACTACTGCACATAATCAAATTATAGATATTTGGTAATATGTTTATGCTGAACACACCAACGAAATACCTTTGTTATATTTAACAATGATCATTTAGATTAAAATATTAATTGTAATTAAAGCATAATGATCCTGTGCTTTATACGATAAAATAGATTTACTTCATGAAAGTGTTTGCTTTAGCACACGATAATGCGGTGGAGTATTTGAGATTGTATAAGGTTTATTAAACTTGATCATTTAGATTTATATCAAACAGTGTGTAATTACTTATTTGTTTTTCACTTTCATGTAAAACGGATTCAATAAATCTCAAAAGAATATCGAAATAAAATTTACAATGGACTTCCAAAGGATAAATACTAAAATCCATTTCATTTAATGCAAACGTTTTCAGTTGGCTGATAAATGTCAAATGGAAATGTTGAAGCATGGGGTAAAGTAATTTACTGATTAGTCAGTATGTTTAAAATTGATTAAATGGATTATGTAGATAAACTCAGACGGTTCAACGATCAACGCAGGGTATAGATATTGTTTAAAGCCCATGAACTGTAAACTGCGCTTTTGTAATTTTAACATTGATCAATTTACGCCTTTTAAAGACACTCTCATTTAGTCGCTATCATAATAGCTGCAAAAACCAACCTAACTTCAATACGAATTTCTAGTTGAAGAAGGATAAAGTTACGTTAGAATTATTGCACAATTTTTATTATCATATTTAGTGTATATATTATGTAATAGATAATTTCTGAACCGATCAAAAATATCTGTATTTGAAGATAATTAACGCACGATCTTTGTTGTATTATCCTTTATGCATATTAAAAGGGTAATAAAACGTAGAATTATAAAAGTTGCAACAATGTTTTATATGTTACCGTTTCTAAAATATATATATATATATATATATATATATATATATATCATGTATATACATAGAGCACTGAGATAATCATTATAAAAAAAACAAATCTCAGACTTGAGCAAAATATCGAATAAAATAGTAATACATGCAATGGCTAAATAAGATATTAATATTATCTGTTAAAAACTGTTTACTCAAAGCATCTGGATAGTGTAATTTCAAAAGAAACATATGTTTGAGACAATGTTTATTAAGAGAAATGATATATAGATTACGGTATGATTGTCAACCTTTACGAAATACAGTGATATTACCTATCAGTACTGTGGTACTGTGTTTGTAATTAAACTGTTATCTACATACAAAGTATATTAATAAATTATTATCAAATTATGAAGTATTCTCAAACTACTAACTTCAATGTTAACAACAAAATTACTAAGAGCAGTACAAGATGAATAACGACTTATTTTTCTTTTAATAAACGTCTTTGTGGAAATCATGGAATGACGCTTTTGAAAGATCTTCCTTTATTAGAAGTAAATCTACTCAATACTTAGTCAAATAAAAACTTTAATGCGTTATCTTTTTATTTACAGAAGATGCTTTCAATGATTATTATGTACCTGAGTTAATTTCATCAAGATGTTTAAGCTATTTTGTGGAGATCGCATTATTTCCTATCATTTCAAATTATACTACGATATGGTCGTCAACATTAAAATCATAACAAATTAAACCAATCGGATTAAAGAATGAAGGGAAAAAATTATGGTGTCAGGGATCATATACGTATATATTATCTTTCTTTAAACGTTATCTAATGTCTTAGTGACTTTACCAATTTTGAAAGAAATCTGATAATATACATTAAAGATTCCACAAACCATGACGACAAACAGCGGATTCCTCACTTTTGTTGCAATAATGTTCAAAGTCGATTTTTGCATCATACGTTCATCACGATGCATATTCTTTTTGGCTTTTTATATTTTGAAATTATTGTTCCGTTTGATATAGTTATTGGAGTTAATAGTTTATAAGGTCAAGTTCGGAAAATACCTCAGGATTTTAGTTATCAAATTTTAGATCTCACACGTTTAAGTTCCAATATACGTTTATCCTATTTTGTGCGTTTTATAGTATAAATTCAGTTAAAAGCTTACTTTGATCAAAATATTATAAGCATATTTCCCAAAAATCATGGATACAGCTAAGGCTTTTAATTGTGATATTCCAAAGACTAGGATTTTCGAGACTCAACTACAATTATGAAGAAGTAGTTTCATTCAATCTTACAAATAATCAGACGTTCATCTTCTAAATGGGATTTCGTTGCTATCATACCTAAAGAACTTATATATATTGTTAACTGTTACTATTAATAAACAAGTTAATTAATTGCCAGTTTTTTCAACGTACTAATTATTTTATTGACACTCCAGATAAAATAACAACCTTAGCCTAATTATAAACATACATAGATGATACTATGGGATTAATGTCAACAGTCTGATTTATTTTTGAAGTCTCGTTTACAGCATCATATCCAGAAAAAAAAATTCGCTAAGAGTCAGCATTGATGTTTCTAAATAAATTTTGTACAAATTTAAAACAAATACTCATTCAGGATAGATAAGTATTCAGCTAGTCACACACTACGTTATAATGACCTGTTTGCATTAATTTAGTATCTTCAAATGTTTGTTGCTTGCATTATTTCATATTCCAGATATCTCAAACAGTGAATGATACATATTGGTTTTATTTCTCATGCTATCATAAAGTTTCACTAATAGGCACTTTTGTGTATGTGAAATTGTTTTTTTAAGGTTTTTTGGTCATAAAAGTGAATCAGTCTATGTGACGTTCAGTTAGAAACTACTTAAACTTGGAAAGCACTACGAGTTAGTATGTACAATGCCAGTTCTTTATTTTTGTAAGAAAAAAAGTGTAAAAAACAACTTGGAATAAACTATAGAATAGTAGTTTGATCTGCTTTTTCAAGACTGATGCCTATTGAAAAATCTTATGGAATTATTACGCAACAGATATTTTATTGGAAAACGTTTATTTGCTTGATAAAAATGATACTTGGTATGTTTATTGATCAATTGTTATGACAAAAGAAACTCCTTTCATTAGAAATGATTTCTATATATCTTACGTGAAGCAGAACAAATATCATAGTGGTGGAATTATGGAAGTAACTCATTAAATACTTGTGACTTCAAGATTAGGTAACACCATATCTGCCAGTGTTTATTTAAAGTGTGTATAGGGAAGAAAAACATCCGTTTAAACAAATAAGTCACCTTATTTTTGTTTTCATGCTGATAAATTTTGATCATGAAAAAGCATTATTTTTGTGGTATTTGGTGACTGAAATTATTGTACGGAATGCGGGCTATTTCATTTGATTGGACACTTTAATTGGGCTTTCTGTTAAAGAAGTTGTATTCTACTGCTATATTCAGGTTTTATTTTCAATATAGAAACAAGTTTAATTGTGGATATCTTAATAATTAATATGGATTTAGAATATAGCGAATACTATTTGATGAAGACATTTTATTATAAAGACTTTTTCAAATATATTCTACTGATACGCATGAATAGCTACCTTAGTTTATATTCAAATCACATTCAATCAATGTATAAAACAAACGATTCTGCTAAAATCATTCAATGTAGAAATAAGAATTATAAACTTTACCTGACATCTAAATGTAATTTTCAGTTATAAAAGTATTGTTCTGTTTTAGTTAACAAAGTGTAATATCTTACGGAGACACATACAACAAATCCAGCATGAAACTGAAAGTTGAAGTAGATATACCTATTTGAGTTTACTTTTAATGGTAGTTTTGGCGAAAGTTTTGTCAACTCTAATGTTACGACATTGAATAGAGCTAGTTTAATATATTTCAATCTTATTGGATTTTTAATGTGATTTGGTGAAATCGCTGCTTATCAACTTTTAACTGGGTAGTTGAAATGAAAGTAGATACAGTTTAAAATGAAGTATAAATATGGTTTACAATGATGAAAACGAACCATCTCTATAGAGTTCAGTCACAACGCTGTCATGAAATTGAAAGTTTTATTAAAAATAGTAAACTAACTAACTGATATCATAGGTGAAGTTGATATTGACATGAATACACACTTGAATTAATGCAAGAATGTAGGTGATAGACATTTTTTAAAACACATGTATCCGTGAAAATTCAATTGGTATCGTTTACTTGAATTTTCCCATTGATGTTTAGGACTACAATTGATCAGCCTCTTATTGGTATATGTGCATTCTGTGCGTATTGCCTCGATATTGCCTTAATTCACAAGCATTTTATGCAAAGATGGATAATGGCTAACAGTGGAATCTAGAACACTGTGGTTACAATTTGTACGTATTTGCAGGTACTTCGACAGAATTTAGAAAAAAACAACCATTATTTATGACTGAATTAATTTGTCTGTAAACTTTGTTGTATATTATGTCTAATTGTGATGAAACTTCATCTTATTTATTATTGTTGTATGCTTTCCTTTGTTACCTATTCGTCTCATGAAAACACGTCGAAAAAGTTATTACGGTTTACAGAGAAAAAAAGAGAAAAAACAAGACAATTAAATGGAAGAAAATTCATTGATTCAGTTACTTTCATCAAGTGTATCATCATCATAAATAGAAGCTGTAATTTATTTTACTGACTGACTATTTAAAAAATCAGATAAGAATTTAATAGGGAAATCCTATTTAATAAACCATGATAAATTGACTTTATTTGATTTTCATGATTAATTCATCATTCAATTGTTAATGCCATAAAAAATTTTTTTCTTTTCGATTTTGATAAAAACAAATATTTGACCTAAATTTCATTTAATTATATTTGAATATCAGATTTTTCAAGAAAACTTCCTGAGTGTTTTTTTTCTCCAAGACAACAACTGACGTATGGACATTTGATTTACACTGATTTTCTATCCTTAAATAACAAAATTTTCTATTGAAAAGTATTTTGTTCATCAATCAAATTTTATTTTAAAGATGATTGTTCAATGAATATCCTTAGATTCACTAAATTAATGGACAAGTTCTTATGTCACAGTGTAAACCTTAACAAAAACATGACTGCACGATGGTGACATTTATTAACATAACATGGAGAATATGTTGTTAGGATGGGTTTAAACACTAGATAATATAAAATTTAACACGGTTATAATTTCATACGGTGTTTTGTTTTGCAAATGAGATTATAGCAATATCACTGACAACACAATAGGACGAAACGGCCGTCCAGTGCTTCCAGGTTTCCTATGGTGGTCTAGCTTCAACTGACTCATGATCTCAACCATTGAAATTACTATAATATCCACAAAACCCCTTCTGATATTAACTTAATTAATATTTAAAAAAAATTCTCCAGACATTTACTGTAGCACAGATTGCAAACGAACCTAAATTTATAAAATTACACTTGACTACCGTAGTTTGTTTTCATAAAATACATTCAGCTAAAAGTGAACTCTATGTTTTCATATTATCTCGTATACAACTCTTAGGGTACTATTATTTTTCATAGTTTGTTTAGTTCTTTCTTGGCTTGTTTGAACTCATTTATCGATAGGTCATCAAATTTCACATGTAGATATTAAATGTATTCGTTAACCTAGATTTTGTTTCTTATTTTCCCTATGGATTTGACTGGTTCTAGATTCTGAAATGTAAATTAATAATAGTGTGTTTAATTAATAAACAATTACTAGTACCACATTTTGATATGTAACGAAATCGTAGTAGTTTCATACAAACTATAAATCCATATATTATCATGAAAACTCTTGGTGTATTTCCTTAAAGTAAAAATTTATGAATCAAGATAATTAAAATTATGTATTGTAAAATGGTATGTAGATAATTTGAATTGAACTGAAACAGCGTCCTGTGATTAGTCGTTTTGAACTACTTGCTTTCTTTATTTGGTGAAGATGAAGTGTTGATTTAGTACAAGCAGAAAGATATGGCTGTTAAAGCTTTAAAGCATTCATATCAAACACTTCAATAAAGCCATTTTAAACTCATAAATTATTTATTTTCTATATTGATCTGTTCAGATAAATTCTCTAGAACTTATAGTTTGTTTAATTAGTGCATGAGGCTTTTTTCTTTTTGTTCTTTCAAGATAATCTTTGTAATAAGCTAAATAAGAAGAACCAAGAGCGTTAAAGCCTACCAGTATTATACAACTAGTACAAATTTTATATTGGATATTTAGCTGTTACCTGCAATAACAAAATAGTCATTCTAATAGTAAAGAGTATATATATGATATCAAACTAGCATAAAATCATCATCAGAATTTGACTCTATGGTGTAGAGTAACCATAGCACTCTGGCAAATGTTTCAAGTAAATTCCATGATAACTTTTATTCAGCTAATACTAGGTTAGTCAACGATGTGTTTCATATTCGTTAAACTCTAATTTAACCTACAGAATTATACGTCAACCTTCGCCGCAAAAATTCAAATTCAAATACTGTTCAATCCAATTTATTATGTTAAGTACAGATTTATTTCCCAAAATGTTAGCATTTTTAATAATTAACGATTCCAGTAAACAAATATATAGACGGCTAAAACCAATCAGTTATAACATAATTATGACTGGACTGAGCTGAGATTTGATAATTGAGTATTTACCAACTATATAAATATA